ACAAGGCTGCCGAGGAGAGAAACTTGGCACCACTAGAACTCCTACATTCAGATCTTTGTGAAATGAATGGAGTGTTGACGAAGGGTGGAAAACGATATTTCATGACGTTGATTGATGATGCTACTAGATTTTACTATGTGTACTTGTTGAAAACGAAAGACGAGGCTCTAGACTATTTTAAAATTTATAAGGTAGATGTTGAAAATCAACTTGACAGAAAGATAAAAAGACTTAGGTCTGATCGTGCTTGAGAGTTTTTCTCAAATGAGTTTGACTTATTCTGTGAGGAACATGGCATCATACATGAGAGGACGCCTCCCTATTCTCCCGAGTCTAATGGGATTGCTGAAAGGAAGAACCGCACACTGACTGACTTGGTGAATGCCATGTTGGACACCGCGGGACTACCTAAGGCATGGTGGGGGGAGGCATTGTTGACCTCGAATCATGTGTTAAAAAGAGTTCCTAACAAAAATAAGGACAAAACACCATATGAGATATGGATTGGGAGAAAACCATCACTTTCTTATTTGCGCATATGGGGGTGCTTGACGAAAGTCAATGTACCAATAACGAAGAAGCACAAACTTGGACCTAAAACTGTGGACTGTGTCTTTCTGGTATATGCTCATCACAACATTGCCTATAGATTTTTAATAGTTAAATCTGAGGTACCTGACATGCATGTTAGTACAATTATGGAGTCTCGTGATGCTACCTTCTTTGAGAGCTTTTTCCCTATGAATGATACACATAGTGGTTCGAGCCAACCCTTTGAAATAATTCCCATTTCAATCACACCACCAGAACAAACTGAACATACACATGAACATATCACTGAGGAGGATGTCAGTGAAGCTCCTCGAAAGAGTAAGAGACAAAGGACGGCTAAGTCCTTTGGTGATGATTTCACTGTGTACCTCGTGGATGACACTCCTAAGTCAATTTCAGAAGCATATGCATCTCCTGATGCAGACTACTGGAAGGAGGCTGTCTGTAGTGAAATGGATTCCATTATCGCTAACGGGACTTGGGAGGTGACAGAGCGACCCTATGGGTGTAAACATGTGGGGTGCAAGTGGGTGTTCAAGAAGAAGCTTAGGCCTGACGGTACTATCGAAAAGTACAAGGCTCGGCTTGTTGCTAAGGACTATACTCAGAAAGAAGGCGAAGATTTCTTTGACACTTACTCACCTGCTGCTAGATTGAACACAATTCATGTGCTACTTTCCCTAGCAGCCTCACATGGTCTTCTCGTTCATCAAATGGACGTTAAGACAACTTTTCTTAATGGAGAGCTGGATGAGGAGATCTATATGGATCAACCTGATGGGTTTGTAGTTGAAGGTCAAGAAGGTAAGGTGTGCAAATTGTTGAAGTCTTTGTATGGTCTGAAACAAGCTCATAAGCAATGGCATGAGAAATTTGACAAAACATTGACATCTGCAGGCTTCACAGTCAATGAGGCAGATAAATGTGTGTACTATCGTCATGGTGGGCGTGAGGGAGTTATTCTGTGTTTGTATGTTGATGACATACTGATATTTGGGACAAACCTTGAGGTGATAAATGAGGTTAAATCATTCTTTTCTCAAAATTTTGATATGAAGGATTTGGGAGTAGCTGATGTTATCTTAAACATTAAGCTAATTAGAGGTGAGAATAGGATTACACTCTTGCAGTCCCATTATGTGGAGAAGATCTTGAATTGCTTTGGCTACATTGATAGTAAGCCTTCTCCAACACTTTATAATCCTAGCTTGTTGCTTCGCAAGAACAAGAGAATTGCTAGGAATCAACTGGAATACTCCGAAATCATTGGCTCGCTGATGTACCTGGCTAGTGCAACTAGGCCTGATATATCCTTTGCTGCGAGCAAGTTGAGCCGGTTTACCTCTAATCCGGGAGATGATCACTGGTGTGCGCTTGAGCGAGTAATGCGCTATCTGAAAAGTACTATGGAATTAGGGCTTCACTATACTGGGTATCCTGCGGTACTGGAGGGTTATACTGATTCTAACTGGATCTCTGATGTGGATGAGATCAAATCCACTAGTGGATATGTCTTCACACTGGGTATGGTGTTGTTTCGTGGAGGTCTTGCAAACAAACCATTTTGACGAGGTCAACCATGGAAACAGAGCTGACGGTACTAGATACTGCTACTGTTGAGGCAGAATAGCTGCGTGATCTATTAATGGATCTGCCTATTGTTGAAAAACCGGTGCCGGCTATCCTTATGAACTGTGACAATCAAACGGTAATTGTCAAAGTGAATAGTTCTAAGGATAATATGAAATCGTCTAGACATGTGAAAAGACGATTGAAGTCTGTCAAGAAATTGAGAAACTCCGGAGTTATAACGTTGGATTACATCCAAACAGCTAGAAACCTGGAAGATCCCTTCACGAAGGGACTATCACGAAACGTGATAGACAATGCATCGAAGGAGATGGGTTTGAGACCCATGTGAGTTATACTATGGTGGTAACCCAGTCTATGTGATCGGAGATCCCGTGGATTAGAACCTGGGAAGAACTAACCATTAGTAAAGTAGAGGAGAGTACCAATTTATACCCTCTCTAAGTGAAGATGCATGTACTCTCGTTGCTGCAAGGCAGGTTGGCAATGCCTTAATGAGTTCTGCTGGCTTTAATTAGCGAAGGTGCTGTCCTGCAAAGCATTCTTGAAAGAATTCACGTTTGTGAGCTTGACTGTTGGTCGCAGTCTATGGAGATTTTGGGTGAATCTTCTAGGAAGCTTACTAAAGACCTAGGAGTATGACTTATACGCTCCACCCGAGGGGTAGTCTACAGACGATCTAGTACCAGGTAAGACTCTGAGTGAAACTTGCTTGCACAAGACTTGCAATTCAAGGCGTAGTCCATTGTTCAAGTTGTGAGTAAGTGTAGCTTGGAGTTCTAGATGGATGTTCAACCATAATTGGTCTCCATCGAACCGCTGGTATATAAACATTATATTGGAAAAGGCAAATCTCAGTGGGATTTTGAGATTTGGTGGGGGGATTGTCGGAATTAATGGATGGGCTAAGGCCCACTCGAAGATTAATTCTTTGGAAAATCACAAAAGCCCACCTCATAGGATAGCATGCATGTGGAGTTTAGTACCACCTTACTTATTCTAGGAAAGGGGGACCTCCTTAAAAGGGAGGATGCCCTCCTTGCCACTTAAAGCATGTGTGGTGGAGAGAAGAGGGGGAACACATGCGCGCGCTCGCTCGCCTCGCCTGGCCTGGCAGGGCAGGCGGCGCGCGTGCACGACGTACGCGTCGAATGGTCCGCAAAATTGGCTCCTCACCCTTGCGCAGATGCAGCCTCCTTTTGCAGTTTTGTTTTGTTGCGGAAAATTCAGATTTGTTTTGTTTTGGAAACATTCCAAACAATCCGGTGCGTGAAAATGGCATGGAGTCCGGATAGGTTATGAGCGACTTATCAGGTTCGGTTACGCGGAGTGGAGATCGTGCGGGCGCCCTGATCAAGCGACCTATCTCTATGTAAACCGAGCCGCCGTCTTCACGCAACACACGCGAAATCAATCTAGGGTTTGCCTCCTACTCTATGCTGCGCCGTCGCTCGTAGACTACTCCATCTCGCTCGCTGGCGTGCACCGGCAATCGGGAGAGCAGGTCTCCGGAACTTCTGCCTTCGACGTCCTGCACCGGGAGAAGGCGGTAATAAGGTTTTTGGGAAGCGCTTCGCGCGACTGCTTCCTGTTCGTCCGCGACGGCTCGCCTTCCTCTCCGCTCGCGTGCTGCGTGCCCTCGTCGATGCCCGCAACCGCGAGTAGTTCCTGCCGAGCAACCGGTCTTTCCATCACCTCGGTACGTGTTCGACATGTTGCGCATATTTGATCTGTTCATGTTTTACTGCTTAGTTTACATGTGTAGATCTAATGATGCGTTCATGCTAGTTTACATCTGCAATTTCATGATTTATTTATGGAATAAATTAAATCATTATGTGCTTATAATTTCAACAATTGCATTCACATTTTTAAGCTTTATTTTCTTCTCTACTCCCAACCATTGAACTCTTTTTTTTAATGAAATCTCAACTTGCTTTTTGCAAGTTCTCTCTGTTTTTTTTGCAATCGGAAAACCGTTACATGTTCAACACAAAACTCTCACTTATAAGAACTGTAACTAGCTGAGAGATGAACTTTGATAGGTTCCTTCACCAAATTTATAGTGCCCCTTACAAATCTGAATGCTGGAGTTATATGAGATGATAGATGAATATCGCAGGGTAAATATTATGTCACCTTTTGACAATTAAATTTAACTAGTAACATGCCCGTGCTAAACGCTACGGTGCAATTGTATATGTCTTTAATAATTTTTAGAATTTCATGTTAGCAAAAAATATTTTTATATGATCGATGCATTTGAACTTTAATTCAATTCATATCCTATATAAAATATATTTCATGTAAGGTGCAGTACTATGATATTGCGTGGGCACAATAAAACTTTACAAGATGAGGCTCACATGTAAGTGATAGGAGAAAAATTAAAAAGCGTAGGGCTCACTCGTCAGCCCTATTCTCCCTCTCTGTCTTTTCTCCCAAAAAAACAGCAGAGCAAGCGGCGGCGGCGGCGTTGGTGATGGTGATGGTAGTGGTGCAGGCTGTATGTGGTGGATGGTGATGGCAATGGCGGTGGTTCGGGCTGTCTACGGTGCATTATTCATTTAAGTTGTATGGATGAACCATATAGAAAAATAATAATCCAGAACAATTTTGTAAGCATATGTATCCCTTTATATAATACAGACCATATTTACAATCTCAAATGACAGTCTGGTGCAAACTGACGCATCTAGTGTGAGATAGTTTGTAAAAGATAATCACACGGCATTCCATATAAAAGGTGATGGCGTGCTGTACCAAACAAGAGGACGATGGTGAGTAACATTCGATGAGCAATTTACTATATTCAATATTTTTTTGAATTAATTTAGATCATGCGAACCTATCTTTGTTCACCAGTCAAGAACGTTTTTATTCACGATATTTCTAGTGCTCTTCCCTGTTGAATCAACTTCTTTCTTTGGCTTAGCCAAAATCTTTGTTGTTAGCCTTGACATACCCCTTAACAATGCGACATATAGCTGACCATGTGAAAACACGGGCTCTGGAAGATAGATCCCAACATTTAGGATGGTTTGTCCTTGAGATTTGTTAATGGTCATTGCGAAATTGAGACGTATTGGGAATTGCTTCCTCTTGAATTTGAAAGGTAGAGATATATCGTCGGAGGGAGACAAAGGGATCCGTGGGATGAACACCCTTTTGCTGGCATGTTGTCCACCAACAATCTCAGCATCAATTGCATTATCTTGAAAAGCTCTAACCATTAGTCTAGTCCCGTTGCACAATCCATTATTTGGATCAAGGTTGCGAAGAAGAATCACGGGACAATTGATTTTTACTATTAGCTCGTGTGGTGGGAGACCATTTGGAGTGATAGAGTTAAGGTAGTCCAGAGGATAACTGTTGTGAGGGTCATCATCAACAGAGTCAAAGCTGTGATAAACCTTGGCCTGCCCTGGAAATCTGTCAATCATATCCGCATTCAGCTTGTCCACATAATCATTTTTAGTGGATAGAATAGCACGTGTGCTCATATAAGATGCAGAGCTTGCATTCTTTTCATCTTCAAGCGAGGGAAACACATGATTAATCAATTCGTGTACTGAATCCTCACTATCCCCATAAGCAATCACAATTTCATCAGGCAAGCGAACATAATCATCTCTGATAGTGTTTTCAGTGCCATTTCTAATTCTAAGGAGATATTCCGAAAACCATAGATCAGATTGAGCCCTCATGTTACGTGACAATCTGATCTTCCTAATATTATCCCATAAATACAATCTCTGTAATGTTGCATCAGTTATCTGGGCCCTTGTCCCACGTGTAACCACGGGATGTACCTGTCTAAAATCACTGCAAAAAACAATAAACTTTCCTCCAAATGGCAATGAACAACCCATAATGTCTTGAAGAGACCTATCAAGGGTCTCTACGGCTTGACGCTTCGTCATTGCAGCTTCATCCCAAATAATTAAGGACGACATGTGAAGCAATTCCGCGGTGCCACTTTGCTTCGTGAAGTTGCACATGCTATTGTGAGCAATCTTAATAGGGATTTTGAATCTCGAGTGTGCGGTACATCCTCCAGGCATAATCGACGCTGCTATACCTGACGTCGTAGTTGCAATGGCTATTAATCCCTTGGACCGCACTCTAGCAAGAAACGCCTTGTACATAAATGTTTTGCCAGTGCCACCTGGGCCGTCGATAAAAAATACCTGGCTCTTTTTATTAGTTACATGATCAATGATCTCATCAAATCTTGCACGCTGCTCATCATTAAGGGATGTGTATATGTCTAAATGGTCTTGATCCACTAGCACGTTAAGTTCCTCTATAATCTCTGTCATTACGTCGTTGCAACGTTCACCTGATTAGTGAAAACAAATATATGCATGATGAAACTATTGGTGGGTGGTGCAAATGTAAATTAATAAGGAAAAGACGTGATAGTATAACAAAAAATACCTATATCAATGACCTCGGGAAGACCATACTCCGTGATATCCTTTCCCATGGAATGAAGCAAATCATGTATGTCTCGTAGCACCATCTTCTCTACTACTGCAGGGTTAGTGTTCCCTCGGCTATAATCTTCAGACATTGCATCCTTGTGATTGTCCCATAGTGCACGGATATCAGTGACTTCGCAAAATACCAATATGGTTGCAAATAATCGATGCAAAGCAAATGGCATTTGGAAAGTGGATGCCTCATTCAAACAATCATCATGTGACTTATCCGTCTCCACAAGCCCTCTCTTCTCGCATGCCTCTCTAAAGGTAGAGTATGAAGTACCTGACACTGTCCTCAAATCTTCAAATGAGGTTGCACCTCGCACGTGGTTGAGGAGCACTCTCAAGTAGTATCTCTCCACCTCTGCAGGGTGAGCGTACACAACCCGTCCAACTTGGCCTCTCTTCATTTTCCTTTTCTGCCACACATTCTGTCCGGTTATCCAACGGTAGAGTTCAGGGAACTCCTTGTATAGCAGCTTCCTTGCTTCCGGGTCTACTTGATTCATTTTGAAATACTCCGTAAGAGTTGTCCTGGTAGAAGATGGACGATTTACAACATCCTCAAGATTACCATCCTCATTATACGTGACATACTGCATGTTAGGAAGATGAAGTTGGAGCTGCAGAACAGCTGGATAGATACCGAACAGTGGGAAACCAAGCATCCTATATATAGCCTCTGGTGGTGTCACGTATCTGGCATTTCTGTACTGTTGTATCTCGTTTATTTCCCCAGTTGGATCAACCGAGAAAGATGCACAGTCGTGTCCTTTATACACATACTTATAGAGGTACTTCACAGATTTGATGCTTGCACAAGCCTCAACATTGATGTGACAGTTATACCGCATAAGCAGTCCAGGATTATATGGGACCACCCACCTGTTGTCTAACACTGCACCTCTAATCTTGACACGCCATCCGTCATCTCTCCTCCTATACAAAGGGTACGAGTCCTTCCCTTGTTGTGTTGCTTGGTTGAACTATCGAGGAAAGTCGAAGCGACACTCTCCATCCACCATACAAGCACAATTCCTGTTCAGTGCGCCGCATGGTCCGTGCAGCATATGCTTGATGACAAGACGATGTAGCTCAGGGAATTTGGCCTTGTCTGGTATCTCCGTGCAAATAACTTTATCGTACTCATCTGGGGTTGTCAATTTACTGCCTGACTTCATGATCAATAGGATGTGTTCATGTGGTAGTGCCCTCTTCTAAAACTCAGTGACGTGCGCGTAAGCCTGAACCTCCCCAAAATATTTTTTCTTCACAATAAGATCCAGCACATCTCGCAGCTTAGCCCTAAAAACTCTTGCGACAAGGTCTGGTCGATCTTGAGGTTGCTGGTCGGGTTCGAGATGTTCTGTTATCTCATCCCAGTATGGGTTGCACGTCATTGTGATGAAGTAATCTGGCCTCCCAAAACGCTGGACAAGCGCCATCGCATTGAGAAACCTTCGTTGCATGTTGTGATCACCACCCGGAAAAGATCGAGGTAGCACAACCCTCTTACCAACTGCGGAACCGCTTCTCTCCAGAAGAAAGCACATCAACCACGCCCTGCAATCATTAAATAACACCATGATCAAATAACTGGTATGTTGAATCACAGATGGGAGACAGTGTCAATAGTTGTGGAAATATGTTACACCATTTACCTGGTATAGCTCAGCCTGAATCTTTTTTTGCTTCTCAGGTTTTGAGTACCAATCAAGCCTCATAGACTCGATTTTGATGTACATATCAATAGCCCATTGTTGGAAAAGTCATCCTCCGAACAAAATGATGTTTAGAAGTCCCCTCCTGATGTGCACTAGGGTTCCCGATCTTCCGAGAGGTTCTGATAAACAACGATTTGGGCGGAGTCGCAACACAAATCGATCCGGCTTCTTGAACGCGCATGCTCTTGAGCCCCGCAATCGCAGCACCATGTCTCCTCTAGTTATCACCCGTGTCGAAACGCGGATGACCTCGCCGAGAAGGCTAATCCTTGTTTGCCAATCAAAGAATACAAACAAGAACGAGATAGAAAACAACCAAAATTGCAGATGAATGATTAAGCTCACAAATTGGGGTCTTACAAACCGATCTAGCGGCGAAACTGTTCTTGAAAGAATAATCTAAGCAAAACCCAAAAACCTAAAGATGGCGGTGGGTACTGATATATAGAGTTTAGGCTTGTGCAACCCCCTCTCGACACAACCCTAATGGGTTCCAACACGATACACGGGCCAAAAGCCCAAATACGGTGACGCAGCACCGGGACAAATTCTGGACGTCAACTTGTTCGATCAATTCCCATTGACTCGGGAAGAATTTGGATGTGGGACCAAAACCATTGGAAAGGTTATGTTCTTAGCTTTCCATATATATAAAGAACGCCCTAATCCGAGCACATATGCGACCTGGGCGCCCGTTTTAGTGCAGACTGGTCCTAGACTCCGAATTGCACCCGAGGTCGAATTGGTTTGGGCCTCCACCTTGACTTGGACGTCCTCGATGATCATCCATGGCTCTAAGTCCTTCCCCAAGTGTCTCCTTGTCCCCTCCATTGTTCCTAATCACAATATAATCATTAGGTAGCAATCTATTCTCGAATTCATACAAAGAAGAACATAGGAACGAGCTCACCTCTAAATTCAATTGTCACGCACGAGCTCTTGTTATCGGTCCTTGAATGACCGTAGGAGGATTGCTATGTGTATCCGAGGTAGTGATGTCCGCATCACCTTCTAACCTGCAGCCTGAAGCAATAGTACTCCCTCGCTGTGACAAACTTGTCCTTTTTCCCTTTTGCCGGATTTACTACTATCATCATTATCATCTTCATTGTCTAGATAATTGTCGACAACCTCGTTCTCTGCGTCCAAACTTACATAATAATATACATAAACAATGGATAAGGACATAAAGTTTAGAAATTATTCGACAAAAGCCACGAGTGTACGTACCTGGAAGATCATCAAAAGTGCTTTCTTCGTTGGTACGTACATCACCTAAAGATGATGTCACACTGTTCATCCATTTCCACATCACGCAGAATCTGGTTGGGATCGTTGTACGGCATTTTCAGGTTCCACCCAGTCTCCCCATTAGGGTTAAATAAAGGATACGCTAAAGGGTCATAACAACCATGGTATGCTTTGATGTAACAGGGCTTATCACCTTTTGCATGTACCAAGACTTGTCTATCAAAAGTTCTCATTGGATCATCCCCATCTTCGTTGGTCAGGCGTTACATTAGTGTTGAGCTCAATCATGTAGTCATCTATATTGGGCATGGATCCAACTCTGCTGAAGGTCTGTACGTACGGCTTTTGCGCCAAAATACGTACAATGACCCGAACAAGGTTGATATCAAGGTCAGGAGACCTGCGAACCCTATGGGCTAGTGCATCAGCATCTTCTGTATCATAAAAGTAAAGCTGCATATGGCGCGGCCCTTGAGAACCTGGAACCAAATTATCCAGGCGATGGTACAATGCACCGTGCACACGAAATGTATACACACCAGTTCCCACTACAGTGCTGACTCGTTGGTCAAGGGTAACTCCAAGGCTCGTGAATGATAAATGGGAGTTGAAATACTGTATATGATTTCTGAAATACTTTGCATCATTATGCACTTGGCTGATAAACAACCGTATTGCATCATTATACTTTCTGAAATACTTTGCATCATTATGCACTTTGCATCTAATGATGCGTTCATGCTTGTTTACATCTGCAATGTCATGATTTATTTATGGAAGAAATTAAATCATTATGTGCTTATAATTTCAACAATTACATTAACATTTTTAAGCTTTATTTTCTTCTCTACTCCCAACCATTGAACTCTTTTTTTTAATGAAATCTCAACTTGCTTTCTGCAAGTTCTCTCTGTTTTTTTTTTTGCAATCGGAAAACCGTTACATGTTCAACACGAAACTCACTTATAAGAACTGTAACTAGCTGAGTGATGAACTTTGATAGGTTCCTTCACCAAATTTATAGATGCCCCTTACAAACCTGAATGCTGGAGTTATATGAGATGATAGATGAATATCGCAGGGTAAATATTATGTCACGTTTTGACAATTAAATTTAATGTAGAATGATTTTTTTTCATGTATACTACATTTTGTTTGATTAACTTGATATCCGAATTGTGTTTTAGGAGCCTATATAAAATTATGGTGTGAAATACAAAAGGGTCAAGCATGTTTCTCACGGAACTTCTGACACTAGATATTTTTTTCTGTACCTTTTATATATTTTGCCCTTACTATTTTTCTCAACATTGGTAGGGTTAGACTCGGAGAAAAAAATAATTGTAGTTGCTATTATTTAATATTGCTTTGCGTGCATCCGGTACATTGGAAAAAAACATTTTTTTCATTTCCTTCGGGTATAATACTACAATGTTCAGATAATACTCTTCATCTCAGTGGATGATGACAATTCAGAGCTAGAGTTTCTAGAGCCAAAGGGTGAAAATCATGGGCTTCAAGGTTTAAGTTGCATCTTACGCACTACTGCACCAACAGGGCCGTCTCTAGGATTTGGGTGCCCCGGAACGAATGCAAATTGAGACCCTAAATTTTGAAAAATAATATGTTATTTTTAGTTAATTATATAACTTTAATGTGTTATTTTCTACGATATATAGAAATATATTTTCAAATATTAATGGTAAAAGAGTAAAGGTAGTACTGATCTAATATTCCAGTGAGAAGCATCATCTGGCGAGGATTTGAGGTCTTCCTGTTTTATAAAAAAAGTGAAGACGTTCACATTACTTTTGATTCAATAATTATCAATCCAATGGAATGATGGATCATTGAAAATACTGTAACAGTGTAATTTCATTAGCCTTGATTCAAAGTAAATTATCGATTCCAGGTTTCCAACTAGAGCTGGGCCTCGCGGCCTCGGCGCTGCTCTGTGTCAGCGCGCCGCTCGTCGTTTCCCGTTGCTCCGCTCGGCAACATCAGCGATGTGCTGCCTGCTGCCGTGAGGCGTGATGCTGTCGCTGCCGCCTGTGCTGCACACACGCAGCAACTCGCGTCTCTCCGTGAGTGAACACTAAACAGTTACTCTGTAATAATTGGCTGTAACTCGTTTGCGTCTAGCATAGTTCCTAACTCCTTGCCTCCTCACTTATGGGCCGCTGAATTCAAGCCAGGCTGTAGGCCTACTCCGAGGTGGGCCCCCTCAAAAATTGGGAGCCATGTGCGGCCACTGTGCTCGCGCATGGCCTTCGATGGCCCTGTGCACCAACCTACTCATACCATTTAGAAATCACTTCTTATAGTGTTGTGGATGTTAGATTATTGTCATAGAACCAATTAAATTTTGTTGACCTCCTTTGCGCTTTAAGATCTACGAATATGTTTTCTCCTAAATCTGTGAGGCTGTGCAAACGCATCCTGAAGATCAACATGTCTTAAGTTACATAACAACTAGCCATGTACTGACCATGTCTGCTCTAATGGATGATGGTGTATGCGCAACATGTTGCCTTAGCAGACAATGTGTTTTACTACTGATGAAAGGTATTTATGTATTGTACCGAACACGTGTACTTTGGACCTATTTATGTATATATATCATATTGATAAATGTTTGAACAATCTAATTCTCTTTCTTTTCTTTTGCGTGATCTTAAAACTATATTGCGCATTATAGTCTTAATCACTAAAGCATGCATTGTATATATTTTTGGTTGGCTAATTATTTTATTAAATGTCACCGTAGCGTTAGTACGAGCAAATTACTAGTTTCCAAAAGGTGAACAAAGAGACTGGCATCCTGCCTAACAAAAAATGTTTACCAATTCAAATAAATTTGTTCACTCATTTTATTTATGTTTTGGTTATAAATTTCAGCTGGAAGTCCTCATGTGTAGTTGTTTGGAGAGGAGAAGTACAATATCATGCTGATTGATCTTTTTGGTCCAATTCTAGAGGACCTAATCAACTTCTGCAGCAAAAAGTTCTCTGTTAAAACAACTTATGCTTGCTGATCAAATGATGTTTTTTTTTCTTACTGAATTCTATTATTGTGTATGTTAATTGTTGTTTCTAATGTTTTCGACTTGGTTGAGGAACATAAAGCATTGTTGATTAGCTGATTACCTCCATTGTGCCCTTTGAAGATTATAGGTACCATATACCCATGTGGACAGCATCTCTGACGGGAGATAGGTGGTGGGCCATATACGTATATTATGTAAATAGACTAAGCTTTGGAAATTACATTGTCGTGTTTCCCAAGACATGTACCATACGTTTTGTAGCATACAATTATGTAAATGTATAATGGAACCAAGTCGTGTCCAATTGGGTTCTCTCCTTTATATCCTTGCCCCTGAAGCTATATAAGGAAGACATGGAGTCCCTAGAGCATCTCTAACAGTCTCTCCAAATTGTCAGGGTTACGGGTAAGATATACCCTCTACCCTTCGATATACGTCACATATCGATATGGTATACTTGCGCGTATACGGATGTTTTCGGCATAAGTTAAGGAAATTCATTATGCAAGTTCATAGATGGAAGGAATCCTACTCGGACAGAACTGGGTCGTCATTGTATCGTGCCGGGCCCGATGTCTCCGAGTCCTACTTGGAGACCAGTTGACCTGCGATATAAAAGGGACCCCCCGGGAGGGCCTAAGGGATCGAATCTTACTGGCAACACATCCACCACAGCCTACGAAGCAAGAGCTTATCGGAGCC